TTGCCGTTATATGAAAAATTACCGTAATTTTAGTATGATTTCAATCGTTTTCAAAGTTTTGCTTTAAATTTCGCCATACACCCGAAAGAAATACACGTACCAAATTTTGTTATGAGAACTAAATTTTTACCCGAGTTATCGTGTGCAAAGACGGACGGACGGACAGATGGACAGACAGTCACCGCTTAATCCATTTCTCTTTTCATCCTGATCATTTATGTATGTATACATTTGTCTATATCTATCTCGATTCGTTTTGCCTGTTACAAACAACCGTTATGTGAACAAAGTTATAATACATACTCTTGTGCACAAGATCGCTCAGGTATAAAAATTTAGGAATTTAGGAAAGCGGTTTAAAAATTGGTTAAAAATAATAAAAGCAATTAATTTTTTTGTTGCATAATTTGCCGTTTGGCTTGTTTTGTGCATTAAACTGTTTTTGATTTTGTCGTTTAATTTCTTTTGTTTAAACAGCCTTATTAAAAAAAAATTAGGGACTTGGAAAGCGGTTTAAAAATTGGTTAAAAGTAATAAAAACAATAAATTTTTTTTGTTGCATAGTTTGCCGTTAGACTAGGTTTGTGCATTAAAACGGTTTTTGATTTTGTCGTTAAATTTTTTTTTTTTTGTTTAAACAGCCTTATTTAAAAAAATATAGGGACTTGGAAATCGGTTTAAAAATTGGTTAAAAATAATAAAACAATTAAGTTTTTTGTTGCATAATTTGCCGCTTGGCTTATTTTGCGAACTGAGAGCATTTTTTTTGTCGTTTATTATTATTTTTTGTTTAAACTACCTTATTCTTAAAATAATTTAAGGGACTTGGAAAGCGGTTTAAAAATTGGTTAAAGATAATAAAAACAATAAATTTGTTGTTGCATAATTGCCGTTTGGCTTGGTTTGTGCATGAAAACTGTTTTTGATTTTGTCGTAAAATTTTTTTTGTTTAAACCGCTCTATTTAAAAAAAAAAATTGGGACTTGGTAAGCGGTATAACAATTGGTTAAAAATAAGTATCTCTTTAGTTGCATAATTTGTGGTTTGCCACGTTTTGAGAATTCAAAGCATTTTTGATTTTTTCGTTTAATTTTTTTGTTCAATGCACCTTATTTTTAAAATAATTTTAGGGATTTAGATAGCGGCTTAAAAATTAGTTAAAAATAATAAAAACAATACATTTTTCTGTCGCATAATTGCATTTATGATTTTGTCCTTTAATTTTTTTTTAAACTACCCGAGCGCACTTGTGCCTAATGGTATTATAACTTTGTTCACATAACGGTTGTTTGTAACAGGCAAAACGGTTCGAGAGATATAGACAAATGTATACATAAATGATCAGAATGAAAAGAGAAATCGACTAAGCGGTGACTGTCTCTTTGTCCGTCCGGCTGTGCAGACGATAACTCAGGTAAAAATTGAGATATTTTAACGAAATTTAGTGCGTGTACTTCTTTCCGACTTATGACGGATGGTATTGAAAATGGGCAAAATCGGACAAAAGCCACGCCTACCTCGCATATAGCGGTAGTTTTCAGAAATACGAAAATTGCGATATTTTAGTAACTGCTGAAGATTATTCACTCAAAATTTATATTTACGATAATTTGTCGACGAAAAATAAGAATATTAAAAATTTTTGGAAAATGGGCGCAGGCACGCCCACTTATGATTACATGTGTATACCTTGGTAACCACTCCACCAATTTCTCCCAAGTTTGGCACAGTTGTTAGCCTGGGTACATCATACCAAATGGCTGAAAATTTTTAAAAATCGGACAATAACCACGCCCACATCCCATATAACGGTAATTTAGATAAATACGAAATCTTCGATAAATCAGGAAATACTAAAGCTAATTTATTCAAAATAGATACTGGCAATAATTCTTTTCCAAGAAATACGTTTATGATAAAATTTTGGAAAATGGCCGTGGCACCGTTCAACCAATTGTACCAAACTGGTTATAGTTATTGTGCTTGCCACAAAAAAGCAAAACTTTGAAAATGATTGAAATCGGACTAAAATTACGGCTACTTTTTATATACGGTAAATTTCAAAAATTCTTGAAACTTCGATATTTCGAAATTTAAGGACGCTAATTTAGTCAAAATTGATACTAACAACAATCTCTTGAAAAGAAGTAACATTACTTGGAATTTTTGAAAATGGGCGTGATACCGCCCACATATCACTATATAAATTTATCTCATTATATCTAACTGACCGTTCTATCGAAGATGTTTAAAATAGGGGTAAAACCACCCCTGCTTACCACGTAGCGTTAGTTTTCGGAAGGTTGAAAAACATAGTATATATTTAATACTTGCGCCGGTTATTTAATGTTCCGCTACGCCCGAACTTAGACTTTCTTACTGCTTATACCCGAGCGCACTTGTGCACAAGGGTATATTAATTTTGTTCACATAACGGTTGTTTGTAACAGCCAAAACGAATCGAGATAGATATAGACAAATGTATACATAAATGCTCAGAATGAACAGAGAAATCGATTAAGCCATGTCTGCCTCTCCGTCCGTCTGTCCGTCTGTCCGTCCGTGTACACGATAACTCGAGCAAAAATTGAGATATCTCAACGAAATTTAGTATGTATGTTTCTATTTATCCAAGGTAGGTTGGTATTGAAAATGGGCGAAATCTTACTGTAACCACGCCCACTACCCATATAACGATAATTTCTAGAAATACGAAAACTGCGATATTTTAGTAACTACTGAAGATAATTCCCTCAAAATTTATATTTACAATAACTTTCAGACGAAAAATAAGAATATAATAGATTTTTGGAAAATGGGCGTAGCCACGCCCGCTTATTGTTACATGTGTATATCTTGGTAACCACTGCACCAATTTCTTCTACAGCATACTAAATGGAAGAAAATTTTAAAAATCGCACAAAAACCACGCCCACATCCCATATAACGGTAATTTTCGGAAATACGAAAACTGCTATATTTTAGTAACTGCTGAAGATTATTCACTCAAAATTGATATTTACAACAATTTTTAGACGAAAAATAAGAATATTATATATTAATTTCCATTCAAATCACCCATGGAGTCAGAAAATAAACACCGCTGCTAGCCTGATCAAAAAGGTGTACATGCTAAGCAACAACGAGTTCGTGGAGGAGAACAAAAATAAAATTAAAAGCATTCTGCACAAAAACGGCTACCCGCATGCGCTAGTTAACAATTTATTAGCAACGACGATAAACAAAAGTAAACAAACAAATCAAAATAAAGATCTTCAGGCTAACAACACAACTAACAATAAAAAGTACATTGGAGTAACTTACGTACCAGGACTAAGAAATAACCAGGCGCTCAGGACAACAATAAAGAATGAAGATATTACATATGCTCACAGGCCGCACAACACAATAAGCAAACTGTACACTAAAACAAAAGACAGAATTCTGAAGGAACAACAACATAATGTTGTGTATCAAATAGAATGTAAGGGGAATGATACTGAAAGCTGTAACAAATGCTACGTAGGCACAACAAAAAGATCATTGGGTACAAGAATAAGCCAACATAAAGCGGATGAGAGAAACAAAAAGATGACAACAGCACTGGCACAACACTTGACGAAGCACGAACACTTAGCGGACTTCGGGAATACGAGAATTTTGGACTTCGAAAGAGGGGTAAAAAGGAGAATGACATTAGAAAGCCTACGTATACAACAAAGACTTGAGAATGCGATCAACTTTAAAGAGGACGTAGATAACACCAACAACGTGTATGCAGCTGTAATCAATAACAAATATAAATAAGAATATAGGATTCGAATTTGGTAATATTGTTGAAAAGATACTAAAAATGGTGCTAACGTTTATCGTTTTGTTAAACAATTTTTGCCAATAATATTTATGTAAATGTGAGTTCAAAGTCAGAATTAGTGTAAAGTAATTGTCGTTAACTATGTTTATTGTTTTTGCATCAGCGAATTTTACTTGCTTATCATGTTTATTGTTTATTTGTTTTTATTTTTCGAATAAAGACTCCCTGATGAAGACGCGAAAGCGTTGAAACGCGTTTTCGCTTTTTTAACTCTATCGGCCGAAGCAGCTCCAACCCAGCAAACAAAGAAATTTTTCAAATGTTCAAATTTGTGGAGAAACGCAATCAAAGTTTGATCAATTCATACAGTTGGTATACCAAAAGACAGATGGAAAGACACATATTTATCTTCGCCATTTTTGGGAAGTTTCGTCATCTGTTAGGCTCAACATATTCTCTTCATCAAGCTTTTTAATTGTATTATGAAATCTCCAAGAACGTAAAATTTTAATTACACCTCTATATTATTAAACGTGCGATATCAGTTTTTCCTTACTACCAATCATTAGTATTATTTATTGCAAACATGGATTTTTTCCACTATTTGCAAGATTTAGTGGAAATAGTCTTTTAGCCATAAATATTAATTTAGTGGAAATTTTGTCAGTTCCAATATCACTAGGCTTGGAGGGGAGTGTGCACTACCACTAAAAATAATAGTGGTAGTGAGAACACTGATTTTTTCCACTAAAAATGTTTGTTCATAAGAAAACCATCGTTATAGTAGTGGTAGTTAAAAGCATAGTGCACTCAAACATTAGTGCACTACGCCCATGTCTGGTAAAATATCAGATGCCAAAACTCCTTGGACACTACATTCACACACACGAAATAATAGCAATTTATTTGTTGACTGTTTATTTAAAAGGTCCGTACAAATGGTTTTTGTCAGAAGCTGTTTCAAGACCAAGATATACCCTGCCCTTGGCGACCGCTGTCTTTTTTTTAAATTTAGATCTCGCTCGCATCAGGGGTCGAACCCAAGTCCCACGAAATGGTCATACGCACCTCTAACTACTCAGCCACAGCGGCCAACGATTTGATAGACTTTACCATTGTAAAATAATAATGTTAATTTTGTACATATTTCTTATGATATATTTGCTTTGTTTCTTCTTTAATACAGTTTGCTTTTTGATCGCATACGTAGTGAAAGGAATCAGCCGAGCTCTAGCAATTCAGACAATCAAGGCAGGACAACAACTAGTTCAGGTGGTGTAATGTCTGGGAATAATAGCTTGTCCGCTCAAATATCTACTGTAAGTGTAGATCGCGAAGCATTCAGTCGATGGAGGGACCGCCAATATTATGGACCGCGACGTTGGTTAAACAAAGATGATTACGTTTGGGATAACAACGGAGGTATGCATTTATTAATACATTTTTGGGCATGCTTTCGATATATCTATATACATACCTACATACTTATCCGATTTTTTCCCCTTCCAAATATTGTGCATATGGGTGATTACTAGGGAAGACTAAAATATGCAAATGCATATCGCATATGCAAATGCTTATCGCATATGCAAATGCATATTAAAACACAAAACACATATTTTACCGAAATAGCATAAAAGTGCATAAAAATGAATATTTTGTTAACAAGTTAATTCATTTTCTCATAATTTCATTTGGCAATACCTGACGCAACATGGATGACCAGCCCGCTGTGAAATGAAACCACCGAGTTTCTAATAGAGAATCACCACGCTACAGAGTAGCCGTCTTTATTTATACAAAAACTCTTAACCTACACCTACATAGTTCTTAGCTAAACCTTAGTATATCTAAAACATGTGTAATGCACTACACATTTAGTAGGTTTGTATAACTCTTCTAGAAAAACACTTAAATCGACAATGCCAGGAAGTAATGACAATAGTCTACGATTTCACTTGCATTCTAAGCCAATCGCATTTCATAACATTTGAGAGATGCATACGTGACTATTCCCATACACCCTGGCCAGTTTTGCCATTTTAACCGTTTTCCGGCTAGATTCAGCCGGTTGCGATAGCAAACAGCCGGAGAAAATTCGTTTTAGCCGGCAGCCGATAAGCCGTTTTGCAAAAAAAAATAACCGTTTTTAGCCGATTTTGTCATTTGCTATTCGCCTTATTTTATTAAAATTCAAATATATAAGTTTCTATTTTTACAAATTTAGTGATCCAAAATCTATTAGAAATGGCTACTCGGAGAAAGTTTTCATGCGGGACTGTTTTTATAAAATGTAAAGACAATTTTTTCTAACCCGAAAAGTGTGCAGATAGGGAACCGATTTCAATGATTTTTATTTTAAGCTAATATGCAGTGACCCAAAAACATATAAACTGAGCCGCGCCATTTTAGCTGATTAAAAAGTTAAAAAATTTTCTGAAATTTTCCAAATTTTCATAATTTTTACACAAAGTGTGAAATCTGGATGTAGTATATGGTGTTTTTTAAGTAATCAGCTACATATTCATAAAAAAAACAATGAACATTGAATAAACTAAAGAAAATAGGCAAAACTTGCTTAGATGTCGCGTCCCAGTTTGTATTTGGGAGGACGTAGCCGGGATTTTCTGTCTTGCTTATGGATTTTTCTATAAACAAAAATTTTATAAAATGAAACTGCAGTAGTTTTCATCTTATGTGGATAGTTCTTGTCACAAATACATATTTTCGTGGTCGTATTTACATATCGATGGTCCTGTTCAATAACGACACAATTCAAAATTCAAAAAACAAAAACTGTTACCGCTGTTAAGTGGTTCTTGTCTATAATCTTTGTCTTATCCATTTCTATCCCAGTAAGGATTGCTAAAGTAAGTACATGGATTCGACAAGGATTAGATGCATGAGCCACTTAATAGTTTTTACAACGCTTTTATCAACTTGCAATGTTGTGTGTCCAGAAAC